ACTCTCTGTTTCGTGTCCTCTCCTCCCTCTTCACTTTTTTTCTGCTAAGCTTTTGGTTTGATGTCATGAGTTTTTTATTTCATGCTTTACTTTTGTTTGGCTTTTCTTCAGGGATTCTATCTCTAAAATATTTTATTGTTTTTATTTTATTTTACTTGTATGAGTATGTACGTGCACCCATGTCATGCAATGCCCAGGAAGGTCAGAAGAGGGCATTGGATGCCCTAGAACTGGAGTTACAGATAGTGGGTGCTGGGAACCGAACCTGGGTCCTCTGTAAGAGCAGCCTGCATTCTTAATTGCTGAGCCACTCTCCAGCCCCTAGAGAGTCTCTTTATTGAATTCTAATTTCGAATTTTGTTTTAGTTGTTTCATCCATTTCTGTTTTCACATTCCTTATTCAGTTTTTTATTCATGTCCTTGAGTTCCTTGAGCTTATTTAGAATTGCTATTTAGAAACCATTGTCTGTGCATCCATTAGACTGTCCTCGGGAAACATGCTGGGTTAATTTCTGTAGTAGACATATTATTTTGATTATTCATGGTGTTTGTATTTTTTATGAGGCCTAGGCACCTGGTCTTGTGTGGTCTGTGTGGCACCTACTCTTGGTATGAGTAAGTGATCTCGTCCTTGGTGGATGTTTGTGACTTTGGTTGCTGTTTCTCCAACTTGTCAGGGCTTCATGTTCAGTTTGGGGGCCACTTTCTGTTGCCGTGCCAATGCGGTGAAAGCGGGGTCTCTGTTCACCTTGAGACAGGTGCAACTTTTGAGCTGAGATTTCAATATTGACTCCACATGGCCCTGGATCAACAGGGTGCCACTGGCTGGAGGCTGCGAGGTGAACAGGTTGGCTGATAAGTGAGGCTCAGGGAGCTTACAGGTTTGGGGCACACAGAGCTGATGTGATGGGGTGCAGGGAAGTCTCAGGACCACAGGTCTGAGAGTGGAGATGGTGGAGGGAGCACATCCCACCAAGTCTGGAGGAGTGTGCAGATCTGGGGTGGGAAATGATCCCCATGACCAAAGGAAGTCTGAGAGCTAAGATGGTGGGGTGCCAGGGTGTCTCAGGAATGGGAGCTCAGGACCGCAGGGCTGGGGAGGGGAAGGATCAGGTTTTCCATTCTTAAATAAGGATGACATGTGACACAACACATTTACCTCTTTGATTATACTTAAGCTAGTCTTAGCTGAAAACTGTGCTGTTTGAAAACAAGGTAGACTTGTTTCTGCTTTGACGGTGACACATGCTTTGTGTGACGTTAGGAAGTATGTTTTATACAGTGACACAGGCTTTGTGTGACGTTAGGGAGTATGTTTTCTACAGTGACACGTGCTTTGTGTGATGTTAGGGAGTATGTTTTATACAGTGACACGTGCTTTGTGTGACGTTAGGAAGTATGTTTTATACAGTGATATGTGCTTTGGGCTAACTTTGCTATATTCATGTGCAATGCTAGAGCTCCAGGGACTAACAGTGGAAAATCAGGATTTTCAGGTAGCTTATCATTTATTTCTTGTCCCCATTTTTTCACTTTTATTGGAAGTTTTGATATAAACTAAGAAAATGCACAAAAGTACAACATTCTAAGCTGTTCCGTGGTCTGGAGACTGTCAGTCCTGTCAGCGCCTTCACGCCTTCTGTGGGCTCTTAGACCTGAGCTCTGCATGACCTTGACTACTGAGAAATCACTAAAACCCTATAGGAGTGGTCATGATTATCGTTTCACTTGACAGTTGAGGGGCTGAGGACCAGGGTGGTGAGGTAGCTTGTGTAAGATTCCCTGGTTGGTATAAGGCATGGTGGGAGGATTTGAACCCGGCACTGTGGTTCGTGAGTTAAAAGTGGAGAAATTGGAAGTCCCATCGTCCCCCTTGCCTTTCTGACATTATGACTTCATTAGGAGGCTTCTCACCAGTGTAGACCTTATGAGGCCCAATGGATCTTGAGATTGGGCTTTACCTGCCTGACGAGAATTTTAAAATATTGCAAGATATGATGGGTATTTTGGGGTCATGCAATTCTACTCTATGGGCTTTTAAAACTATTCTTTTTGTAAGAGGATTTTTTTTTTTTGGTCTTTGTTTTTTAAACAGAAGTATAGGGTTAAAAGCTTTTATATTTATTTATTTGGTTTTTAAATTTATTTTTATTTTTTACTTTGTTTATGTGAGTGTTATGCCTGCATGTGTGTAAATGGACCCATGTCGTACAGTGACCTCGGCCTGCGTGTGTGTAAATGCACCCGTGTCATACAATGCCCTCAGAGGACAGAAGAGGGTGTCAGATCCCTTGGAACTGAAGTTATAGATGGTTGTTAGCTGTCATGTGGGTGCTGGGATTCAAACCCAGTTTTTCTGCTAGAACAGCCAGTGCTCTTAACCACGGGGCCATCTCTCCAGCCCCTTATTTTGGTTTTCTTAGACAGGGTCGCGTTCTGTAGCTCAGATGGCCTGGAACTCATCCTGTAGCCCATGCTAGCCTTAAATTCATGGTAATTCTCCTGCATCAGCCCTCTAAGTGCTGGGATTGTGGGTATGAGCCACCATGCCTGGCTCTTCTCTGTTTTCTTTCTCTTCATCCTCCTCCTCTTCCTCCTCCTCCCTCTTCTCCCCCCTCCTCTTCCTCCTCTTCCTCCTCTTCCATTTCCAAAGAGTATTGAGAGGAAATATGAGTTTGCTGAAAAACTGAGTTTGCTGTGCCCGTAGACAAACTGTGGACAGAGAGGAAGAAATCTAAGTGGAAACAGGTTGAGGAGTTTGGGAGAGCGAGGTCAAAGCTGGAGGAGGCTGAGTGGGCTGCCAGATCTGCAGAAGTGATTGCACAATGGGAGGGGAGAAGGGGGTGCAGCTGAGGGGATGGGAAAGGCCAACCAGGGCACCCAGGGCACCCAGGGCAAGCCCTTAGACACTGGAGATTGAATAACCAAAGGACTAGAGAGAGACCAGAAGGGAGCCAGGTGTCACAGTACTGGGGAGGAGCGGGTGGGGAGCAGAGTTGCAGATATGTGGAAAGGGCCTGGGGTTGCAGGCAGAGACTGAAGCCCTTGCTCAACCACCTGTGAGCTGTGAGCCTCAGCTGGTTCACAAGCACTTTCCTTTCTTGCAAGACAGGGTAATACCTCGAGTTGTCCTAACTGAAACAGTTGGAGCAGGCATTCTCCCAACAATGCTTTGAATTCATTCTTTCCAATAAAAAACACACAACAGGGAAGCTTTGCTGTCATCACTTATATTTCTTTGTTTTCATTTTTATTTTATGTGTATGAGTGTTTTGCCTGCATGTGTGTAGGTGCCATGATGTGTACACAGTGCCCACAGAGGGCATCAGATCCTTTGGAATTAGAGTTAAGGACAGGTGTTAGCTGCCATGTAGGTGCTGGGAACTAAACCTGGGTCCTATGCAAGAGCAGCCAGTGCTCTTAGCCACTGAACCGTCTCTACCCATTTATGTTTCTTATATGTGTACAAAGAATTATATTGCAAAATGTGTTTTTTACTTTTCAAATTAATTTTTAGCATAGAAAATAATGGTTTCCATTGTAACATTTTCATTTATTTAAAGATTATTTTATTTGTGTGTATGTGTGTGCCTGTGTGAGTTTATGTACACCACGTGCATGTATGTGCCCACTGAAGGCAGAAGAAGGCGTCTGATCCCCTTCGGTTAGACACACTCTTAGCCACTGACCCATCTCACCAGCCTCTCATGACAGTTTCATACACAGATGATATTCTACCTTGTTCATGTCCCCCAAACTACTCTCTCCATATATCTGCTGCTCCCTCTAACAGCTCCTCTGTTCATGTCCCATATGTGTGTGTGTGTGTGTTTAATTCTGTAAATAAAAGAGATATTTCTCTCCTACCACCTCTTTTGTTAACTTCCCTCCTCTCCTTTTAGACTATTTCTCCCCCTCGTCTGTAGTAAGATGTTGAAGGGTTAGCATTTTTTAAATCATTTGATTCATGAAAAGTATGCTTCCTTTTGCTTATTCTCTTCTGAAAAAAACTCTCAGAATCTGAATATAATTCACTCTGTTTTTCAAGTTGAATAGTTTAAGCACCTGCTGTGTACCCAGCTTCTTTTTCGTCATCCATCCTGAGACTCTGTTGTGCAGTTCTTAGGCTGTTTGTTAATCTGACTTTCTATAGGCATGACTAGATATTCTCATCAACACCAGGACTTCCAGTTTTTATAGCATCTGTGATTTTTCTAGTATATTCCACTGAAAATACTACATTTTATATTTTATTTCTGGGAGAAGCAAACTTACTATTTTTTATTACATTTAATTATTTTGGGGGACTGTGCATGTGGAAGTCAGAGGACAGCTGTGGGAGTAGATTCTCTCCTTCCACCCTGAGGGGCTCAGGAATCAAATTCAGGTTATCAGGCTTAGCCACAAGCATCTTTACCCATGGAGCCATCTCAGTGGCTCACAAACTTACTTTTCAAATCATTGTACTTAGGTTTGATTAACATATAGAGCGCTGTATGTATTTAACATATTTTTGCTTTTATTTATTTATGGGTGTGTATGTGTGCACACTGTAACTCACATGTGGAGGTGAGAAACCAGCTGGCACCTCTCCTACTATGCCTTCCTGCCATGATGGATTTGTGCCCCTTTGGAACCAGAAATTCAAATAAACTCTTCCTTCCATAAGTTGCTTGGTCAGTGTTTCTATCACAGCAACAGAAAACTAATACAGTAAATGTGTTATATATATATATATATATATATATATATATAATATGTTCAACTTTATGAGTGTGGAGGTAAGGAGACAGTTCTATAATGAAATCCTCATCTTCACATCCACCTTCTTTACTTATTAGTAGTAAAATTACTGTTTTTATTGAGACACATTCATGGTTTTTCCCCAGAAAATACTATTTGGAACAAAATTAATTTTTTCATGTTTTGACCTCATTTAATATGTTGACATCTTTACTTCTGTTAGAAAAAAATTATGATAGTTTTCTTATCCTTATTAGGGTCGCACATTACAAAAAATACTCTTGAACCGGTACTTCAAAGGCGATTACGGGGTTGGCATGAATGGACACCTAGTGGGAACCTACTCCAAGACTTCACAAGGAGGAGGTGAGGCTGTTCCTGATTCTCCTGCTCAGGATTTCATGATGTACTATGTTGGTGTTCTACCAGTGTTTTACTTCTGTGACACAAGTAGAAAATATTCACTTAAAAAGCACCAGTAAGAATCCTTTATGTGATTTGGAGTCATGAAGCAATGGGTTTAAACATTGCAATTAATTTTGCCTTGTGACTTTGGAAAAAGACTTTGTTATAGCTTTTTGATATGTACGTTCAGGACATAAGGCTAGTTTTCTTTTTCGGGATTATAAAATTTAGTAACTGAACTACAGGTGTCAGACGTTTAATTAAAATTCCCATTTTTAATAAATATTTTATAAGTTTAACTCATGTTTCTATTATACTTAAGCGTGTAGAGGGAGAAAAAGTCTCAATGGTAAATACTGTTATGTTGAAGAATTTGAAAACATTTTATGCTGTTTAAAACAGTGTCTGTAGGGACTGGAGAGGTGGCCCAGCAGTTAAGAGTACCGACTGCTCTTACAGAGGACCCAGGTTTGGTTCCCAGTTCTAGGGAATCTGACACCCTCTTTTGGCTTCTGCAGGCATTGTATGTACTTGGTGCCCATACAGACACACACACACAGACACACAGACACACAGACACACAGACACACACCACACACACACTAAAAAAGCCCCGAAGGCCAGTGTCTGCAGTGGAGGTTTATTCACAGATTCTCCCCTCACCACAGCAGGCTTCTCTGGACAGGACTTAGACAAGACGGGAATTTCAGTATCTGATATCCAGTGTCTGTTGGACAAAGAAGGAGCCTCCGAACTTGTCATTGACGTCATCGTGAGCACCAAAAATGACAGGATCTTCTCCGAAGGCATCTTGCTGGGCATTGCCCTGCTCGAAGGAGGAAACACACAAACCCAGGTTCTTCTCTGTCTCTCACGGACATTTGTTCTTTGCATGTCTTACTCACTTGGCATAGAAATGGGGGACAAAATGCTTTTCTTCTGGTTTCTCATTGGTGAATCATATTCTACTTGTGAATT